TCCCCCATTCCCCCCCCCTTCCCCCAGGATGGGGAGAAAGCTTCCCTAGTGCTTTGTTAATCTCGACTGTTACTCAAATGGATTTGAGTAATCTGGGAACTCAATGGACATATCTAGAGAACAGAGTTGTTGAATGTGGGTATACATTATCTGTTTTGGGCTGTTGATGCCACGATGTTCTCTTTATATGAAGAAGTAGACATTCAAGTACACCCACGTCTCCCACGTGGCCTCAGCAGTGAAGTGGCCAAGAACTTGTGTGCACACCCACACTGAACTGTTTACTGTCCTTACAGAAGTCAAGAAATGGAAGAAGTTTCATCCTGCTCCCTCAGCAGCACTCTGTTCCAGCAGGAAAAACAGAACGGGGTTACCTATCGAGTCCCAGCCCTGCTGTACATTCCTCCCAGCCACACCTTCCTGGCCTTTGCAGAGAGTCGTACTTCATGCAGAGATGAGGATGCTGCCTACCTGGTGCTCAGACGAGGGGTGATGAAGGGGTGCTCTGTACAGGTGACTCATCCCAGATAAGGGCATGGGTGTCTGTTGGGAATTGGTTCTAATGCTCTGTCTTATTCAGGCTTGCTGGGAGCAGAGGTGGTTTAACTAAGTCACCGCTGCAGGACTCATCTTCTCCCCTCAGAGCTGAATGCACTTCTGGGTCTCTTCTTTTTCTTCCCACCTTTGCCAGTAAAACTTTGTGTGGCTAGCTAAGAAAGGGAAGGCTTTTACTGCGTGGTCAGAGATCCATAGCATCTTTACACCAGTCTGTATCCCAGGCTTCGATGTCAGTCATGTCTGACACATGGGGAAACAGACTCAAAGGGTTTGTCACTTATCCTAAGCCATATGTCCATCATCCAGCAGTAGAAACATAGTTCAAACTCAGGCCCAAGCTCCCAAAGCCTCTGTGGTTCATTCAGATCAGATGTGGCCTGCTTTTTTTTTTTTCCTATGCCCTGGTAAAACCACCCAAGGAAGGAAGCACCGTTTGCTCAGCTTTGCTGAGTACTTCACCCCCAAATCTGCCGGCTTTTCTACCTCTTATAGTCTGAGCTTCATATCCAAAGTGAGTGCTTTGCTATGTCGCAGTGACAATGTGACTGCTGAGCCTCTGTCCTTGCGTTAAATGGCAGTGGTTCCCAGTTCTTTCTGAGGATCTTGGTCTTTGGGGATTTGCCAATTCTGTATCTCATTAGGTCTTCTTAGTAGCTTGGCAGATCAGACCCCACAGAGGCCCAGCCCTGTGGCCTGGCAGAGCCTGTGACCTAGCTGTTTCATTTGCTCTAGGACAGGCTTTCTGGTGTGGCTAGTGAGCTACTAAGCAAGGGTGTTGCCTGCTTAGTTTCCTGGTTGTTTTTGGAGAATGTGTTGCCGAGCCTCACTGTCCAGCAGTTCCATGGTTCCCACGTTTTCTCATCACTACGTTGAGTTTCATTCTTAACTGTAGACTTGAAATTAGGAAAAACATTTCTCAATCTAGAAATCTGATTTCATTAGTAGCTTCTAGCTTAGTGGTTATGGACATAGCTTTACCAGTTGTCCTAGTTAGGATTACTGACTCTTGCTGTGATGAAACACCATGACAAAAGCAACCTAGGGGAGAGTAGGGTGATTATTTCATCCTATATTACCAGGTAACAGTTCAGCACTGAGAAAAGACATGGCAGGAACTCAAACAGGGTAAGAACCTGGAAGCAGGAGCTGATGCAGAGGCCGTAGAGGGGTGCTGCCATGAATGGGTGCTGCTGACTGGCTCATTCAGCCTGCTTTTTCATGGGATGGGCTGTCACTTCTCAATCACTAATTAAGAAAATACCTTATATGGGTCTTACGGAAGCATTTTCTCAACTGAGCTCCCCTCCTTTCAGATAACTCTAGCTTGTAACAAGTTGACATAAAACTAGCCAGGGCAGTCAGTTAGTACATGTACCCTGTTGGATCTCTAAACTGGGATCCTTGAGTGTTCCCTGCTTTATCACTTACAGGATGTAATTAATAATGTGCCTAGTAAGGACTCAACGCTAGACATCTTTCATGGTGGTCTCTTTTCATAATACTTCATAGAAGATCTTAATCATTGACAGTAAATTGCATATTTTAATTGCGATAGCCTCTACTTCTAACTATACATTGGTCTTGTCCCCACTTTCTTGAGCAGCCATTCTATGCATAACATAAAGTCCCTTTTGCAGAGTCACTCCTTGAAGTTCCTAGAAGTGGCCTACAGCTTCTTTTCTCTGGGCTGAAAAGCTCTCTTACTTCTAGTGACAGGCTTGATTTGTCATCTGGTCTCTTGAAAACTGCAACCTGGAGACCTGTCTGGGCTGCCAGCATTCTTCTGAGTATACCAGATGTGTCCAGCATGGGCTTGGCTCCTAAAGTAGAATTCCCTGGGGGGCATAGGCAGGCCTAGCACAGGAGGTGCCTGCTAAGGCCTGGCATCTGGAACAGGGCTACTGGGTAGATTAACATTTGATAGAAATATATCCCATATCACTATATATGAACAAAGGGTCATTTCCCCCATTAAACACAACCTCATGTGTTGGGATGCTTACTCTTATAAGCAAAGCTACCATGAAATACCAGTTTTAAGGTTTTTATGAAGAGGGTTCTTTAGCTTGCTAGTGAATTGTCTTGTAGTTTTCCTCTCAGTGTGTGGTGCTAGGATCCAACCCAGGCTTCTGTGTATGCTAGGCATGCGTTCTACCCTATTTGACACCCCCAGCCTTTTATTTAATGAACTTGTACATCTTGGGATAATTTTCCAGAACTGAGCATCCTGGCAAAGGATGAATGTATTTGTACATAAGAACTCAACTATTATACTCCAAACCATATATAAGGAGCTGATTTATCCACCTTTTTTTTTAATCAACAGACCATTACCAAACTTTTTAATATAAAAAATAGTTGGATGAAAATGCTATTAGTTTAATTCCAATTTATATTTTGTTTTATGTGTGAGGCTGAATGTATTTTTTTTCTTCCTTCTGTAACATGTCTGATTTTGCTCTTTGCCCTTTACTATTGGGGTTCTAGAAATTTACCAAATTCTGCGTGGGGAGCTCAAGCCTTTCTCGTGGTGTGTGTCACCAGGCGCTATCTCCTTGACTTCTTTTGTAGCTCCTCTGTTACTCCCCATTTGGCCAGTGAGGAAATGCCAATAAGATTTGCCCAGTGTCTCACAGTAGTAATAAGGGCAGGCCTGGGGGAGGGCTCTCAGACTCTGCTTCAGTCTTCAATGTGCTGTTATGCATTGCTTTCCACCATAGTGCAGGAAGAGAAGAGCTCTTCAGTCTTAAATTTCCAACTTTGCTGGGAACTTCCCTATTTGATCCATTGTTTGTGTTTCATCGTCTACTTTTGTATTACATTTTATTCTCTTCCTCCTCTCTTCTCCCTCTGTGTCTGTCTGTCTGTCTGTGTACATGTGCCATAATCCATGTCTGCTGATCAAAGGACAACTTGAAAGTCCTTGGTTCTCTCCTTCTACCACTAGGTCCCAGAGATCAGACTCAGGTCACCAGGCTTGGCAGCAAGCATCTTCACTCTGAACCATCTTGCTGGTCCTCGCCTTTTCTGTTTGTTTTTGTAAACTTATATTGGCTGCTCTCACATGCCATGTATTGGAGACACAAATGTACACAATCTGGGTACTGTTCAAAAAGCTCACAGTCTAAAAGGGGAGACAGTTATCAAAAATATGGATAGTGTCATATAGTTTCTCTAAGCTGTTAGAGGAATGAGTTTCAAGGAAGGCTTCCCAGAGGAGGTGGCACTGGAGTTGGGTATTGGAGGATGTTTTAGAAGTTCAGATGAAACAAAGAACATTCTTGAGAGAGCACAGCTTTTACAGTTTCTAGCGTTTTCAGTTTTCAGATTTAGAGACACCTTGTAATAGCTGCAAAGTTAGTGATTATTTGGGCCTTCATGATTCTGTCATTTCAATGTTATATATTGTTTGAAAACATACAAGTGATGCTTTTAAGGAACCTTGTCTTGATATTAGTAACCAACTTCCACTGTCTCCTCCTCTTGTCTTTGACTAGTGGGGCCCCCAACAGCCACTGATGGAGGCCACATTACCTGGGCATCGCACCATGAACCCCTGCCCTGTGTGGGAGAAGAATACTGGCCGTGTGTACCTGTTTTTCATCTGTGTGCGGGGCCATGTTACTGAGAGATTCCAGATTATGTGGGGCAAGAATGCTGCCCGTCTCTGCTTCCTTTGCAGTGAGGACGCCGGGTGCTCGTGGGGTGAAGTGAAAGACTTGACTGAGGAAGTCTTTGGTCAAGCAGTGAAGCACTTTGCCACGTTTGCTGTGGGCCCAGGCCATGGCATCCAGCTGCACTCAGGGAGGTTGATCATCCCCGCCTATGCCTTCTATATCTCATGCTGGTTCCTCTGCTTTCCATGTTCAGTCAAGTCCCATTCCCTGATGATCTACAGTGATGACTTAGGAGTCACATGGCACTGTGGCAAGTTCATTAGGTCCCAAGTGACAGGGGAGTGCCAAGTGGCAGAAGTGTCTGGGACAGCCGGTAACCTTGTGCTCTACTGCAATGCCAGAACACCAAACAGATTCCGAGCAGAGGCTTTTAGTACTGATAATGGTGGCTACTTTCAGAAACCAACCCTGAACCCACAACTCCATGAGACTTGCCGTGGCTGCCAAGGAAGTGTAGTGAGCTTCCGGCCTTTGAAGATGCCAAACATATGTCAAGACTGGAGTGGTAAAGATGCTCCTACTACTCACAAATGCCCTCCGCTGGACAGTTCCCTGGAGGTGGAGGAAGGAGCTGGAGCACCATCAGGAACGTGGCTCTTGTACTCACATCCAACTAGCAAGAAGAAGAGAATTAACCTAGGCATCTACTACAACCGGAACCCCTTGGAGGTGAACTGCTGGTCCCACCCGTGGATCTTGAACCGTGGGCCCAGTGGCTACTCTGATCTGGCTGTTGTGGAAGAACAGGGCTTGTTGGCATGTTTGTTTGAGTGTGGGGAGAAGCATGAGTATGAGCGGATTGACTTCCGTCTGTTTTCAGACCAAGAGGTCCTGAGCTGTGAAGACTATACCAGCCCTAGTAGCAACTAAAGCCAAATCAAGGCTCATGGGTGAGGCCCAGCTTTCCACAGAAAGTATTGTCAGCTACAGCCAGGATAGCAGAGGTTTCTGATGTCTAGAGAAAATCTAAAAACTAAAAATCTGCTCTTTGCATTTTTTCCACTTTTCCTTTCAATGAGCATAGTGAAAATTGTGCCATCTCTTACATAACAAGGCTCTTGAACTGGGAGTTTAGAGACCATGCTGTAGTTTTGGCTCTGCTGTTGGCTTGCTTCAGGCCTCTAGATATATCCCCTGAACTCTTTGGACATCAAGTCTCCATTTGTATAATGAGAAGATTGGTGTGGGATTTCTTTTCTTCCCATTAAAAGGAGAGGCTGTGTGCTCACTTCCTGCTCTACAAACCCGGGATTCTGTTCTTGAATGGAAGCCACAGACTTGTCTTTTCAAATGATTCACTGCTCACTTGAGCATTAGGTGATGTGTAGGTGCTTTGGCCAGAAGAAAGATCTGTGTTGTTGTATTTTTAATAAGAAAAATTCCCTCATCCTTCCAGTCATGCCCAGACCTGTGCAAATTCTCTATCTTAGAAGACTTGAGAAAGCAGAATTGTAAGGTCAGATGCTTTCTCCAGCCTTGATGCTATGATCTACCTCCCCTTCCTCATCTAGAAAACATTTACTAGGGAGAAAATGAGAAACCTGTTCTAGCTGCCCATGACAGTGGTTGATAATGGTGCTTATTGCTTTTGATACCATTACCTCTGTTAAAGATGAATCTGAGTCAGAGGTTCTTAGCTTACTTCAGCTGCATCCACCCATCTCCAGGTGGACATTCAAACACTGCTACAGAAGTCAACCAAAGTGAGTGCTGCATGTGGTTGCCTGGTTCCAGGTTAGTCATAATGTTTCCTGGAGCTGGGCTTTTATCTAATGTCAGGAGCCATTTAGGAGAGGCTAAAAAGTAGGAGGTGATCTTCATGAGATGGTTTCACTGTGGACTGTGAACCATGATAGATGAACGCTTCCAGGTGAGGCCAAAGGAACAACATTGTAGGAAAGATTCCTGGTATTAATATGCATTTTCTGTTATTACATGTGTGTGTATGTTGTAGTGATGCTATATAGACAAATAGATGATTTATTAATTCTTAATGATTATCTTATAAGAATTCCTAAAATTATACTAGTAATTATTAAGCCCTCTATAATAGAACTGTTATTAAAATCCTCTCTGATATGAAAACTGCAATGAGAACTCTGCCAGTCTTCATGTGTCATGAGTTAATTACTTCTGAGATATAAATCAGGCATTTTACAATTTAGAACACATTTCTTAGAGCTATAAAACAATTAACCAAAGGTCATAAAAGGGAAGGAAAGATTTATTGTAGATGCTAGGACAGAAGATAAAATATTGACTGGGTATATCTATACCAAACTTTATTGTTAACTTAGACACAAGAATTATGGTTTTTAACTTTCAGTGAACCTGTGGTGCTAGTGACAGAAAAGAAATGTCTAGTTAGATAACTATTCTTAATGGAAATACATGTAAACATCTCTGTTGCAAACTTCTTTTTGAATTTATGTTTAAACTTGTGTTGAACATCAGATGGCACGTGATCATGTATTCTGAGAAAATAAAGAACTAAGAATGAACAACTTGAAACTTAAGAGAACGTAGAGCAGAGTGAGTTAGTTTTTAATAGGTTTCCTCCATTTTTCTTTTTCTCTTAGAAATAAGGGTTAGAATCCTTTCATAAAGCATCTCCATTTTTTTTTTTGTCTTCCTGCAGTTGTCTTAACCTAGCTGAGAAGGAGTTAAATAAACTGCCAGCTTTAAGTGCTCAACCTGTGGAGAAAAGAACAAAGGAACTCTTTTAAGTGACAGGTGTCATCTTGCCAAGAGGCCTGCAACTTCTGGCCTCAAGAGTAACTTAAAGTCAAGATTGGTAAATGTTATTATAGAAAGCACATAACCTCTCATAAGACCAAGTCTTGTGTCCCCCAAGGCAGCCTGGTTCCTGGTTGAGCAAAGGCTAGAAAACCTGGTGACCCTGAAGGGATGGAAGACTTTTTTGACCTACTTCTGGGCACCCAGCTCCTGTTACATAGCTACCTGCCCTCCATTGATTTGTGGCCATCAGTCATGTAAGTGCAACACCTCAAGCCCCTCCACAGGTAGGGAGAAATGGCGCTCCAGTTTATTCAATATGTGTGTGGAAGTCCACGTGAGGGTGTCTGATTAGAGACAGTGTGAGATGCCATGTGGGTACTTGGAATTGAACCTGGGTCCTCTCAAAGATCAGCCAGTGCTCTCAACCTCAGAGCCATCTCTCCAGCCCCAGGACTTGCTTCCCAAGATCCATAGTCATCCTAAAGATAGGTTTTGTTATCAACAACTGGGAAGAGAATCAGATATGAGAACATGGACCCCCTTAAGGGAGAAGCATAGATGTGGATAGCTGGAAAGGCAGATGCAGTGCCAGCCAAGCAGCTTGTAGGGACCAGGCAGTTCCAGGAGCCACAGACTGGAGGGAAATCTTGTTTTATGCAATACTGCCTCTGCCATTCTCCATTGCTGGGTCAGTCACTGGAGCTAAGTATGTAGTAGCCAAGTCTGAGCCTCCATATGCAATTTGGATGGTTCTCCTCTCATTATTCTGAATACACACACACACACACACACACACACACACTTCACTATTATCCCAACCTACAGATGAGGAAATAGCCCTGGGAATTCAGCTATGTGAGAATACAGAAAACAAGCCTCACCAGGCCTCCTGAAGGCCTGACCAGATACTCATACTACTGGCACTTTGATCTTGAACCCGTTTCAAGAACAGAACAATGACCCACAAATTTTTGTTGCATATGAACTTTTCAGTCCAAGGCACTGTAATAAAGTCACAGCAGGCTGAATGTAAGTTAAATGATTATTATGCTCTGTATATATTAATTAGTGCTGGAGATTAATGTGGCATCAGTTATTCCTTAACCAGCTGTTTCACAAATAACCACAAAAAGACCTTTTAATATTTCTAAGCTTAGGCCTAGCTGGGCAGATTCTCAACTAGCTCATCTAAGTTAACCCAACAACTTAGCCCCATCCAGGTCCATAGTCACATCTGTCCCCTCCCATGTCTCCTGGTGAAAAGGCTATCCTCCTCCTTCCCAGAGTTCCTTTATTCCTCCCAGGAAGTCCCACCTTCCACTTCCTGCCCAGCTAATTGACCATCAGATTTTTATTAAAGTCAGTCAGAGGATACCTTAGGTGAGGAAGGACAGAGATACAATTTCACAGAGTGTACTGTGACAGCTATCCTTTTTAGTCCAATAAAACCTTTTTCTCTTATAACAAAAAACTGTATGCAATAAGAAAAATTACAAGAACTACCAAGTAAGAATTACATTCACAATGTTCAGTTCATTCTTATTTGGCAATATTCAAAGAAAGAACTCTACTATTTATTCTATCTTGATTAGTTGTGTTCTAGCTCAGTTTCTATCCTAATTTGCATTACCAACCTAAAAACACCAGTTTATATTTTTGTACAACCTTCATAAGGCATCTTGTGGACCTTCTAACCTTCATTTACCATCCTTAAAACATTTCCTTAGACCCTAAAACATTTTCTTAGATCCTTTACAACTTAAACTTATAGCAAGACTATGATTATCTAGTCTTCATCCCTATCAGAGATCTGTAAGGAAAAAAAAATCTGAGTATGTAGGAAGTACAGGCAAGCATTTCCAAAATTATAGAAATAACAGTTGGCTGCCTGGACAGATAGCTACCTAGTGTTCTAAAACATTGGAACATCATCTTCAGCCTTCTGGACCAGAATATCTGACAGATATTCCGTGAAGCAGGAATTATGAAGGACTTTCTTACCCTATCTTGGCAGAGCTTCACAGTTGACTTCCCTACATCTGTTTGTCCTTACTGGATAGCATCCTATCTGCAGATAAAGTTGGGAGCATTTTCTTTACCTGCGGCTAGCTTGTCACAAATGAAGCCATGTCCAAATTGAGGTCCTTTGATGCTCATCTTCTTCCAGGTTGAATGAGGTATTGCCAGGAACTGACAATGTCAAAAACACCTCAAATTAATAAAAAACAAAAATCTTTAAAGTCCATATTCTGAGAGTCTCTAAAGTTCTCAAAGAACATCCATTTACAGCACATCTGAACAAACAAACATTGCTTGTTTCTACTTACTATCTGTTTAACCTAGAATGTATACTTTGTGATAATCTAGACTTGTATCTAACATAACTATGAGTTTGATTGTCTGACCATTAACTTTTATTTCTTAACCATCCCTAATAGTTTGCAATAGCAACTATAAAAGAACTAGAATTAAACCTGGCATTTTCAAATGAGCTGCAAGGGACATCTATATAAGAGTTGAAACATACATATGTTATATTGTAACAAAATTAACCTTAAACTTTGTATCAATATACAAAGATTTGTACCAATGAAAACGTTAAATCTGTATCAATATATAAAATTTTGTACCAATGTAACAACAATAACCTTATTTGAGAATATCAATAGCTCTTAAGTAGAGGAGTAGATTTAATACTCTACCCTTTTATTTTTTTCTATATGATAATTCTATATCCCCCTTCTCAACCTCCTTCTCTTTATCTAAGAAAGATAAAAGATAAGAAGAATAGAGAAAAGGAAAGGAAAGATATAATTCCCTGAGTCTAAGCTCCCTATTTTGTTTCTTCCATGTCCAAAATCATAATTATTTGTAATCATTCCTCCAAATGACAACGTACCTGTAACTCATAAAATGACCCAAACCAACCATCCCAAAATAAGGCACTGGGATGATGATCTTCTGATAATTGCTTCCTGCTGAATTGAGGCAAAGAATTTCTTTGGGGGGGAGTGCAAAGGAAACTGAGAAAATAGCTAACTCAAAAGAAAACTAGCTGGCGTCATTTGTTGTTCAGTCTCTGCAGGCTTAGAAAGTTTGGACTTAAGTGAAGTTCTGACTGGATCAGTCTGGATAAGACTGGAGGAGTTGAAGTCATCTGGGCTCAGCAGCCTTTCTTGAAGCTGTTCTGGAAGCAAGTGTCTTAAGGAAACAGCATCAAAGCAATCTGAGGCAAGATCAGGAGTCCTAGCATCCTTGAAGGTGGATCCTATTAGGACTGGTTCCTTTGTTGTTCTTTTCTGTGAAAATACAAGCTTTTACAAGTAATATGCAGTTCTGTGATAATATTCGTAAGGAATGTGCAAAGTGCACAAGTCTGTTAATGATTCTCTGCTCTTTGAGCAGGTGAAAAACATCTGTGTATCCGAAGTTAGTTTGATTACATAACCAAACTGCAATAAAAGTCTCATGTCGTTTGAAAGGATGATTTGTAATAATAATTCATGAGCATTCTGTAGCCAACAAGATTTATTGGCCATGTGAGCTGACGTTCTAGCTGGAGGCGTCTACATCCCAGTCAGTTTCAGTTGTTTCAATAGAGGATTTAGTATTATAACATTACCTGGTCATTTGGTCCTGGTGATTTTCTCCTCTCTTTCTGCAGCCAAGATCTTCAGCAGATTTTACTCTATAAAATCTGATTCTTATTATTTTGGATGGAATTCGAAGCCTCTTTTCCTTTTCTGTTGACACAAACAAAAAGCCCCTTTCCCCACATGACATATTTTTGTCCCACAGTTTGAAGTTATTATAAGTATAGACTGGTCCAATCAGTCTACTCCATTTTGACCTCTCTCAAAGAGGAAATACAATGTCACTAACACTATTGACAATATAACCATTTTCACATTAATAAATCAGAACAAAACTGTATGGAGTCCAAATATCTTCCTCTACAGTAACATAT